AGAGAGAGAGAGAGAGAGAGAGAGAGATTTCTTCCCGTCAACACAGTTACGCCTCAGGGCCCCAGCCAGCCAGGCGTGAGGACAGAAATCCCCGTTACTCAACAAGCTTGCTGCTTCTCAAGTCAGTGGTTGGCGGTTGGCAGAGGTGCTCTGCTGTGGTTTGCTCATTTTTTTCCTCCAATCAAATATCTGTCTTCCTTTCCTCTGCTCCCTTTTTTGTGTGTTAATTACTCTCTTGTAACGCCTCTAATCTTCGGCACTTATATGATGACCTAATTGTGATCTAAGTGCCGTAAAACGCTTACTATAACAACCCGCCTAAAGGTCTCTTCCTCCCATTCGGAGATCAGCGGCCCAATCTCTTTGGTCTTGGTCCTCTCACTGGGCCCAATAACGCGACGTGCACCCTGGTAGAGGAGTGTGTGGGTGGTTGGCGGGTGCTCTGCTGTGGTTTGCTCTTTCTTTCCTATCAAACATCTATCGTCACTATCTCCCCGTCTTCTTTTTTATGTTTGTTACTCTCTTGTTACATGTCTAATCTTCTGGTGCTCATACGACCTTATGCTGTTGCGAGCGCCGTAAAAGTTTTAGTAAGGTTTTACTGCGCTCACAAATGCATAAGGTCATATGAGCGCCAAGGGGTGGATGTCAACAGAGAAGTCCAAAAGGGGAATCAGACTTACTCTGCTCACCTCTCTAGCCTCAACGGCACAAATTCTGCTTCGACTATCAAGGCAACCCGAAAATAGCAGTTCACAAGAGAGTGTCTAACATAAACGAAGTAGAGGAAAATGACGACAGTAGTAAGGATGAGGAAAGAAAAAGCAGCAGTTCCCATTGGGAGATCGGCGGCCCAATCTCTCGTGTCGTTGTCCTCTCACTGGGCCTGATGACGTGACGTGCCCACTTACGGTGTGTCTGTTACCGCACGGAGATTGGGGACGTGTCGGGCCTGATGACGTGACGTGCACACTTGGAGTGTGTCTATTACCGCACTATGACTATGAGATCGGGGAAGTGTCGGGCCTGATGACGTGATGTGCACACTTGGAGTGTGTCTATTACCGCACTATGACTATGAGATCGGGGAAGTGTCGGGCCTGATGACGTGACGTGCACACTTGGAGTGTGTCTATTACCGCACTATGAGATCGGGGAAGTGTCGGGCCTGATGACGTGACGTGCACACTTGGAGTGTGTCTGTTACCGCACTATGAGATCGGGGAAGTGTCGGGCCTGATGACGTGACGTGCACACTTGGAGTGTGTCTGTTACCGCACTATGAGATCGGGGAAGTGTCGGGCCTGATGACGTGACGTGCACACTTGGAGTGTGTCTGTTACCGCACTATGGGGAAGTGTCGGGCCTGATGACGTGACGTGCACACTTGGAGTGTGTCTGTTACCGCACTATGGGGAAGTGTCGGGCCTGATGACGTGACGTGCACACTTGGAGTGTGTCTGTTACCGCACTATTGGGAAGTGTCGGGCCTGGTGACGTGACGTGCACACTTGGGGTGTGTCTGTTACCGCACGGAGATCGGGGACGTGTCTGGGGTAAGGACGGGTGCGTGTCTAATCTCCGGCCGTTTGTCAGCCCACGTGCCTCCCACACGACATCAAGCTAGTTTGATAAGAGTTTTTTTATTCTCTCTGTTCTTCCCCTTTTGTGTTTTTATTGTTGCTGTTGTTGCCTTTGGTGCTGTTGTTGTCTTTGTCGTTGTATTTGTTGCTGTGTGGGTGGTTGGAGGGCGCCATCTGTAGGTGGTACTTCTTTACTTTCCCCTCCGTTGTTTCTGTATGTCTGTGTTCCTTTTCCCCATCACCAAATGGCCATTATTGTGTCGATGTGCTTCTCTTTACTCAGATTTTAAAAAATGTTCTTGATGTTGTTATTGTCTTTGTTGTTTTGTTGTCTCAGTTGACTATATTATGTCCGAGTGCGAAAGATCGTAGCCTGTTCTGCTCCTGGGAGGGCGCCCCAGTTCTGTCATTTGTTCCCTCTTCCCATCTGTCGTGGAACGAATGCCATCATGTGGTTTACATAATACATGACCGGTTATATGACCTTATTGTGTTGCAAGTACCGTAAAACTCTTGCTGAAAAAAAAAGATCGTGGGTGCTCTGGTGTGGTTTGCTTCTTTCCTATAAAACATCTATCGTCCTTATCTCCCCTCTTTCTTTTTTATGTTTGTTACTCTCTTGTAACACCTCTAATCTTCTGGCGCTCATATGACCTTATGCAGTTGTGAGCGCCGTAACACCTCTACTAAAACAAACACACAAACACTGGCCATTGCACGCTATGTCTTCTTTGCGTCATCAAAATTGACCCGGAAGTTCATTAGAACCCATGGCATTCCTCTCACAAACAAAAGATGTGACCCCGTAGTGGGTGTGGTAGCTTTTTGATTAGCTGCTGGTCTCAGTTGTGGTTGGCGGGTGCTCTGGTGTGGTTTGCTCCTTCTTTCCTGTCAAACATCTATCGTCCTTGTCTCTCCTCCTTTTTTTGTGTATGTTACTCTCTTGTAACACATCTATTCTTCGGCACTTGTATGACCTTATTGTGTTGCAAGTGCCGTAAACCTCTGACTGGAACTGGTCTCAGTTGTAATCAAATTGGAACCGACCGTGGCCTAGTTAGAAAATCAAATAATAATACCGTGTTTGATGCGGGTGGTTGGCGGGTGCTCTGGTGTGGTTTGCTCCTTCTTTCTTACCCAACATCTATCGTCCTTCTCCCTCCTCCTTTTTGTGTTTGTTACTCTCTTGTAACACCTCTTATCTACGGCACTTATATGACCTTTTTGTGTTGCAAGTGCCATAAAACTTTTACTAAAACTTTTTTTAAAATCACTAAACGAGGGGGGGGGTTGTGTATTGTTTTGTTGTTTATTCTTTTTTAAAGCTTGACAAAACGTAGTTTTATCTGTATTAGTTCCGCGTTTGGCCTGTCACGGAGCTCTCAGATCAAACATCTATCGTCCTTATCTCTTCTTCTTATTTTGTGTTTGTTACTCTCTTGTAACACCTCTAATCTTCGGCACTTGTATGATCTTATCGTGTTGCAAGTGCCGCAAAACTCTTACTTAAACTAAACTGTCTGCCTTTGTACATTGGTCGCTTTTAAGGACAAGTGGGCTAACCCAGATTTTGGGGGGTTCCAGAAATCTTGACTCACACCAAAAGTAGGCATTGCCCTACCTATAGGAGAAGTTTGGTCTTTTAAAGAAACTGAACAAGGGGCTAAAACTTTGCCTTCGATTTTCTCAAAACAGCATTTTGCGGGATAGCCCCCTTGTGCTTAAAAGCGACTATATGCCGTCATAAGAAACGCTTCCGAAAGCACAAATAAAGAGTTTGTTTCAGTATTTGTCCTCCTTTCCTCTTTCTCGGCAGTCCGTTTGTTCTGTCTGTCATTTCTGTCTCCCAGTGCTAAGTGACAATAATTGTGTCGATGTGCCTCTCATTAACTGGGGCAAACGAACAAACAAACGAACAAACAAGCGGACAAACAATGCGCGCTCCAAGTGTTCACACCTGAGGCCTGTTGTCAAACAACGTGGCTTGTCCTTCGCCGACCACCGAGCCCCCCCCCCCCCACCCCCAGCTCCCCCAGGCCTCGGGAACAGCTGACCTTGTAGTCTAGTGCTGGCCGGCCAGCTTTCCGATTGTTGAAGGCTGGGAATCGTAGGAATCGACTCCGAACCCAATTACTTACTTTCTAATGATGTGATTTCTTCCGGTGGTTACCTGGTTGGCTCCGAACATCTTCAGGATTTAGGATAACCTTTATTTTGGAATACTACGAAGCACCAACTTAAAAAAAAAAAATCATTAAAAAAAAGAAAAGGATTTTAATTGTTAAAGTAAGTTAACTGGTAACCACTAGTTTACGTAAAAAGGAGTCGGAACTTTTCTTCCGTAGCATTAAT